ATGTGACCCAACGTGTTTTTCTAGTGCTAATCAATAAATATGTTAAATGGAGAGCGACTATGCCAAAGGAGTTTAATGCTCTTTTTTTATAATCATTCCTGTTTTAGTTCCATTTGACTCTCGTAATATTGTGGTTGGATCTAAATGGAAACATAAAATCAATTTCAATTTGGATGGGTCATTTGAGTGCTTTAAGGCACGTCTGGTTGCACAGGGTTTTAATCGGACGGTTGGCATTGATTTTTCTCAAACATTTAGTCATGTTGTCTAACCTACCACCATTTGTATTGTTCTCACTCTTGTTGTTTCTTTTGGTTGGACTATTCGTTAATTGGATGTAAAAAATGTATTTCTCCATGGTCACCTCATCGAGGAAGTCTATATGCATCAACCTCAAATTCCTAAACATATTTGTCGTCTTAGGAAAACCATATATGGTTCAAACTGGCGCCCAAAGCCTGGTTCTATCGTTTTAGTAGCTTTCTCTTGACCCGTAATTTTGTGTGATGTAATTTTGATAATTAATTGTTTATTTTTAGGTAAGGTTCACATATTCTTTATCTTCTTCTATATGTTGATGACATTATTATAGGTAATTCCCTTTCTTTCATTCGTGCCTTTATTTCATGTATTGGCAAATACTTTTCCATGAAACATTCGGGGGATTTGCATTTTTTCCTAGGGGTGCAGGCCGTTCGTATGCCTCAAGGATTGTTTCTGTCTCAACAAAAATATGTTTCTGATTTCTTAATTAGGTTTCATCTTTATACCCTTAAACCACTCCAAACCCTTTTCGCTACAAGAATCACTCTTTCTCTAACTGATGGGGAGCTCCTTGCACATCCTACTGAGTATCTTTGTATGGTAGGTGCATTGGAGTATTTGACCATGACTCGGTCTGGTATTACATTCGTTGTTCATCTGGTTTTCCAATTTATGCATGGTCTTCGTACTTCACATATTTTGGTTGTTAAGCGCATTTTTAGGTATCTTCAGGGCACTTTAGACTTTGGCTTGATGCTCCGGCCGAGTTCTACCTCTCATTTGATTTAGTTTATTTTGATGCCAACTGGGCAGGTTGTCTTGATAGTTGCAGATCACATCCGGGTTTACTATATTTCTTGGTTTGAATCTGATTTCTTGGAAATCTAAAAATCAGCATACTACCTCTAGATCTTATACTGAAGCTGAATATAGAGCCATTGCTTACTTAGTTTAGGACACTCTTCATATCAGACCTGTTATGTTCGAATTGGGCATTCCCATTCGCACACTTGTTCAGCTTATGTGTGATAATGTTTCTGCATCTTATTTATCAAAGAATCCTATTCGGCATGCTCGCAACAAACATATCTTGCATTGATTATCATTCTATTCGTGAAAGAGTGTCTCATGGAGATATGGTGGTTAAATATGTTCTCACTCAGCTTCAGCTTGGGGGGATATTTTTATCGAAAGATTGTCTCCTCAGCGGTTCACTTTTTTTAGAGACAATATGCGCGTTGTTTTCTCTGCACAGATTGAGGGAGTGTAATAATATATTTTATACCTTATATATGTTTTATATATTTAGTATGAACTCTAATGTATTTTAGACTCTTTATTCATTATATATATGATATCAGGGCTACGTGAAAATAACAGTCTTTGTTCTTCATGGACCAATTTTGTACACAAAGAGTCAAACATGAGACCATCCGAAAAAAGGGTAAGATTAGTAACGAGAGATTCATACTCTAGACCTAACCCCAGAATGGTATGTTGGAGAAGACCAGTAGGAGAGACCGGAGAATTAATTGCCACAAGAGCATTAGCAATAACATGGATCTCAAGCATATAACCTTCCATACTTTGATTAACTTTTCTTTTTAATACGGGACATGCGTTTTAACTCCATAGATCTAGCTAGGCAAGCCGATATAAAATGAGAATCCAAACGTTGCCATATGCCAGCATAATTTTTCAAACTATGAACCTCAAGTAAATTTTTCGAGAAAGGGTAGCGAAAATCCAGGAACGAACAGTTTGATCCAATTTTAGCCTGTGACAATATTTAGGTTTCATAGTTTGTGTATGATAAACATCATAATTAAACATATAAAGAAGGATACATAAGAGTACCGTCTAGTATGCCCAAGAGTCCATGAGATACCAAAAAGGGTTCAAATTGCATCCGCTAGGTCAGGTAATCTTCAACTGCAACAAGTTTGGTGGTGATAATATTTGTGATTGAAGGAGCCCCAAACCCCATAAATTGAGCCATTGCAGCAAAGGAAGTGAGAATCTGTGCCGCATCCGACGAGCGTTGGCCTATGATATCAGTGGATGAAGAAGGCATAAGTTCAGGAGCGCCAAATAAAGTTGGCCCGACAAATTGATCAAACGAGCGATTGCTGACGAACAGACTAGAGGGAGGATGAACTCCGTGGCACTAGGAGTTTTTGACGTCGAGCGCAACGTAGGAGTCGTGGGGACCAAGTGAAAATCGACGGAAGCCAAGGACTGGAAGCCGCATGCTTTGAAGTGTCTCCTGGAGAGCTCATGGATAGGGACATGGGAGAACTCATGCCAGCCATGGTTAGCAACGAAGATAGAGGCGCTGCAGTGGCCGTGCTTCCGATTTTTTTTTTGTTCTGGCAAACACCTAATGCTCTTGATACCATGTTAGAATAATGGAAAGGCTTACCAGATTGGAACCCTGAGTATCATATATATAATGAACATAAAGAGTCCAAAATACATTAGAGTTCCTACTAAATATAGCAAACCTATATAAGATATAAAATAGATTATTAATACCCACCACCTCCGCACCCCTTCCTCCGCACTCACACGTCCCTGCCGGCCGCCCCTTCCTCCATACATCAACCCTTCATAGACACAACCTCCCCGTCTCTTCTATGTTCGGAGTCTCGGAGATAGAGACCTACAGAAACAATGGAAATGAGTGGATCGAGTGATAGGGAGAAAAAAAAAAGAAATAAAGAAGTAAAAGAAAAATGCATAAATGGGGGAAGATAACGGGTCTGGGAGAGAAGAAAGAAAGATAAAAGCAAAAAGAAAGATAGAGAAGGATGATAAAAACGAAAAGTGAAAAGAAAGGAAAGAGTATAAAGAAATAGAAAACATTAAAATAATGCCAGTTAGACATCCACTTTAGTGGGTAATTGGGTTACTCGTTCTTATCACTCAAACATCAAATTTGGTGATTTTTTAGAATTTGATGGATTCAACGAATAGTATAAGAATCTAAATGACTTTTTCTGAAAAGTACGAGGATCTATCTCATAGTTTTTTAAGGGAGTTGCTTCGTGTACACCTCACTAGACACATCTGTCCTTTTTATTTCATTACACGGCAGTACTACGTTCAAGTGGTCAACACCTCAAACATTTTTTAAAATGCGTAATGTTGTAAGAAAATTTAATCCTTTTCAAAATTATTAAATGAATTTTAAATTAGGTGTTATTATTAAATAAGTGATTAAAAAAATTAAATAAGTTATTATGTACTCCTATTTGCCTCATTCCTGCTTTTGATGTTCTATAGATCAAGATTAAATAATTAAAAGTATAATTACATTTTGAAATAATAAAAAAAATAAAAAATTAGATCTAAAAAAATTGTATTATTGGGTTTTTTACAATTGAAACACAATTAACTTCATTGTATTACTATTGTTGAAATAATATTATGTCATTGTCAGTGAGTTATAGCGTCAGCGGTATCACCACGAATGTCACCATTGCTGTCGATGTTATGTCACTGTGAAACATGTCATTATGATTGGTGGAAAATTTTCCATTATCTTTTTCACGCGAAAATTAAAAAAGAGAATGAATAAATTGTCCGACAATTTTTTCAGCTGTCGGTCACAACGATCTCAAGCGGCAACCACAGACACTGTTATAGTAGCTGCTGGAATCAACGGTGTGAAAAGTGGTGGAACAGGACTACATGAGTAGGGGTGGATAGTGGGGTGTGAATTAAAATTAAAAGAAAACTAAATGAAAAAATGACATGTATATTACTATAATAGAGTTTCTCTGAATAAAAATATGACTAGTTATGTGGAATTTCATGTGATGCAAAACGACAACGACAATAACAATAATAATAAGGAAAAATTGAAAATAATAATCCAACTATTGATGGTCTGTTGACAATAATCCCAACTATTGATTATTTTTGTATAATCCCAACTTTATAGATTGTCCGCCAACAATGGTCTATGACCAGATATTACCTATATAAAAAGTGAATTTAAAATAGAAATTAAGCGTAAAAATTAAAAGTTGAGATTACTTATAGGGATTACTTGCTATATCTCATCTCATCCACTTTAGAAACTATAAGAATTTATTCATAGGGTCCATTATTGGCGGAAGGTCCCTAAAGTTGAGATTATTCTGGAATAATCAATAGTTGAGATTATTATGAGCGGACCGCCAATAGTTGGGATTATTACTATCAATTCTTCCTAATAATAACAATAGTAATAGTAATAGTAGCAGTAATAATAGTCATAATACTACTACTACTAATAATAATAGTAATAATAATAATACTAACAATAACAATAATAACATCAATAACAATAACAACATTAACAACAACAAAACAACAATAATAACAATAAAATTAATAATACTTACAGTAGTAGTAATAACAATAATAATATAGACATGAGTTCTTTAGAATCATGTTTATAATTGCTAAAAAATACCAGTAAACATGTCTTTTCAACATAAACGACGTTATTAAGAAATTCTTTAAATAATTTACAACTTCTATTAATAATTCATATCAACGTGACACTACCGGGGCATGCACGCCCGGGTGTTTACACTAGTAAGTACAAGATTAAACATGACTTTTTTTTATATCCATTTATTTTTAATACTTAAAAGCATAGATATATTAAAAATTATTACTCTAATATTTTAATTCTAGAGTATATAAAATAATTAGATGAAACTAACTACATTAATGAGGTGAGACGGTGAGATAATCAAAACAGAGAAACACCATATAAATTTTGTAGGAAAAGAATCATAAATTGGGATCAACCGAAAAGAAATAAGCTTGAAGAGCAGCATACTTCAGAGGGTAGAGAAACCCTAAAGCCTAGAGCTACGAGGTGAAGTTGTAGAACCCCATAGTAGTTAGCCTCAGAATTCATATCGTCATCATCGACAGCCATGGATGCTCTGAGGAAGCAGTTGGACGTTCTGATGGGAGCCAACCGAAACGGCGACGTGACCGAGGTGGATCGGAAGTACTTCGACCGCGACGTCTGCCGTCTCTATCTCGCTGGCCTTTGTCCTCACGACCTATTTCAACTCACTGTTCGAAACAATCTCTCCCTTCATTTATTTTACTAGTATCTTTTTACTTTCTGTTGAATACACGCTTTGCTTTATACAATGTTTGCATAGATCTATAGTATTTAGTTATTTGCATCTTAAAAAGTAAAGCTTTTGCCTCCATTCAAATGGTTCTTGATGCTTATATTTCTCTACTACTCTACCAACCACCTTATACACGTCAATTGCCCACTAAAATACAGTAAATGAGTTTATTTCCAAAACGTTTGAGTTGAACATCACCTTGCATTCCTGCTATGGAATCCAATACTATTACGAAGTATGTTCATTATCCTGAACATTTTTTTGTTCCTTCACAACACTTCTGCTCTTTTGCATTTGAAATGAAATAATAACTCATTGATGCTTTCATTGGCTTCATTCTACATGCAATGATTAGGAGTCAACTATAGTTACACAGAAAAAACGTTAGGTTGCAAATCTGCAACACCGAAAGGGAACAATATGAATATAAGAAATTCTAACACAGAAGAAGGTACCGTAGTAAGTGTCTGTAAAAAGGTTAAAAAAATCTGAAGTCATGTTGAGCGCGGCTGAGAGAAGTATAGGGTAATGCTGGATAATCCCAAGTGCACAATGATCTTGAATCATACCCCGCGAGTAATTGAATGGAGGATTGGAGGCATCATTCGAAATGACCAACCGAGGACATCAACTCGTTTTTTCATCTCTCAATTCCCTTTAGTTCAGAATCAACTTGTTTTGGTCTATATATTCTTCCTTTATCGTGTAGTTGAGAATCATTCGCTAGATCTGGGAATGTAGAAGAGCTGAATCCATATATTTGGTTCAAATGGCCAGGTTGCTTTAGTTTTCATAATCCATTAATTTCATTTAAACCATTGAAAAACTAATGGTGATGCTCTTTTCAGTGCCTGCCTCTCTTTGGCTTTCAATTGTTATTTTAGCCCAACCAGGGTGGGTTTGGTCTATCATTTGTTTATAGAGGGTTGTTTTGAGAATTTGATTCCTCGGTCACTGCCAGATCCTTACTGAATCGTGTAAATTTATGTTGATCTGATGAATGTAGATTATGGTAATTTTTTCATGGTTATAGCTTTGATTCCTCTGATGGTCTTCTTAATCAGATCTTATCTCCTTTCTCTGCAGAAAATGGATATGGGGCCTTGTCCAAAACTGCATTCTTTGCTTCTGAGGAAAGAGTATCCTTTTAGTCATGTTAATAGTTTAGGCATTTGTGGTTATCCCTTCTCTTCTGTGCCCATGGTCTTACCATCTTTTTTTCCAAATATTTGTTCTTAATTTCAAATTTTAAAAGTTGTGGAGCTAAGTATTTTAGAAGCTACTGTATTTTCACCTTTTCAGTTTTCATTGTTTTAGACATGCAAAATGCATGATAAGGATTGTCAGCCATTTTGTTCACCAAATACTCATTTTATGCTGTTTTGACTTTTTCCAGAATGTCTGAATCCTCTGTTGATTATTTTTAGCCCAACAGGTATTTTTAGTTAAAATGGTTGAAACAGGGGAAGGCAATATTAGCCATTTTTATCGTTTAGATATCATTTTATTCAATTTTATTGGAACATCAGTTTAGGTTATTACACACAAAAAATTTATATTTTATTCATTTCAACAACTTCGTAACATTAATTCATTTGAGATATACCCTAAAAAAGCAACTCACAAAACTGGCCCTTACTGAACAAAATATAAATTGTAGCTGTCTGTGTGCGCTTGCTTTCTGCTATAAGAAACCAATAGCCCTTCACAGATTGAAAAAATATGTTGGTGTAGAGTGTAGACAGTTTATTAGTCTACCATTATTGCGTCATTATAAATATATTATGTATGTATAATATCACAAGATGTAAGGGTTTTAGGATAAAAATTATGTGCCGTCGTCAAAGCTCTTAAAGGAGGACGAGGTAGTTGCATAGGCGGAGCCAAGCCACATGGATTTACTCTTTCCTAGGTGGTGATTATGATCACAAGTTGGATGGGTTTCAGGATAAAATGTATATGAGAAACCAATATTTATATGACCCATCTTGACCTTAATCAATCTCCACCTCGGCCTCTGGAAGCTAGGACCTTGCCTACTTCCGCCTAGCGTATTTAGAGCACTGACTGTTACCAATGTAGCCTTTATTTAATCCCCATCAACTGATTATACAGTAAACATTCATTTCGTTCTTTTCTTGTAGTTAGCCTTTATTTTCTCACTATGGGTCATCCGGAAACAGTCTCTCTGTGCTTTAGTACAGGGGTAAGACTGCGTACATCCGACCCCCCCTTACCCCACCGTAGGTGGGAGCCTTTGCGGCACTGGGGTAAATGAAAATGAAATGAAATGTGATATCTGTCTAGTATTCATATTCAGATAGTGACATTTCCAGTTTTTGATATCCAGTCTCTTTTTGTGTAACCTTAAATCTATTTTTTTTAGCTATCTGGAAGCAAAATTGAAAGGAGTTGATAACTATGACAGAGACTTGGAGGATTTTATAGACAGGCTTATTGTTGAGTGCGATAGGAAGATAACAAGAGCTCTCAAACGACTTGCTGATGAGGATGCCAAAGCTGCAATTGCCATATCAGTTTCCGAAGTTACTCAAGTATGGCTGCTTAAACTTGTGGTGACTTCATCTTATATCTGTTTTAGACTTACACATCATTCATTTAAATGCAGACACAAGAGACCCTGGAGTTATCCAAGCTAATAAAAGAGAAGTTAAAAGAAGCTGATCAAAATGGTAACTTTTCAAGAGTTAATTTCTTAACATTAAGTAGTGTTCTTTATGTTGCTTCCATATTACTCGTATTACAAGACATTTTTAATTGATCTTGGGTTCCACATTTTTTGTTTATGCAGATCTTGAAGGGAAAACAGATATAAAAATTCGAGCACTTGAAGTGGTTGAAGAACTCAGGACAAAGAGAGCTGATAAACAGGTACAGTCATATTCTCAGAGATTGATTGCACTCTTCAGTGATCCATGAAGCATGTGCATACTTTAAAATCTGTTTTGCCTAGCTGTGAAAAAGTGGATGTACAAGTAATCTTAGATGTAGTGCTTCTGGTTAAAAATGTTATTGGCCAAAGCGGTTCAGTGTTTGGTCTATTTTGGCCAAAAATTTTGTATGGCAGTACGGGCAAAGTTAGGTTTTTGAAAAATAGGTGAAGATGTTATCTGGAATGAACTTCCTTAAAACAGGTTCTAAAAGCTGTTTTTCAAAATATCTAATCTGGAGCTTTTAACTTTAATCTTTTTCTAAAAGCAAATGTTTATTTTGTAAAATCACTTTTAGAAACAGGCCACACACATCATATTTAGATTGAAATCAACTAAAAGAACTTTAGACTGGAAGGCTTGGCCAGACAGAGCCATAGTTTTCTGTCAAGTAAGAGTGTTTGACATGCTGATTTTAACAATTTATTATATATATAATACTAGTATATAATTGATCACAATAAAAATTAGTTTTTGTTTGGTTAGAGTTTTGCAGTTTGCCGAAAAGTAATTTGAAAATAATTAGTTTGTTTGGATGCAACAAAAATTAGCTTTTCCCCGGTAAAATAGTTTGAAAGCAGCTCTAAGAAAATTTGACTGTTGATAATTGACAATTAGTCATAGATTTCTGAACAATTTTATTTTCAAAAAGCAGCTCAAACTTGTCAAACAAGTGTTTTTTGAGCAAAAGTTGATGTTTCCCGTTTCCTCATGATTTTTGTGTTTCCGTGCAACATATGTAGTTTCCCACATAAGTTCTGACTATGCTCATGTTTTTCAATGACAGGCAAGTCTGCTGTTGGACGCATTTAACAAAGATCGAGCTTCTTTACCTCAGCCACTTCAAAACCCTCAAGTGATGGAGTCCAGACCTGCTGCTGCTACAGATTCTCGCATCCAAGAGCTAATAAATGAAAAACTAAAGAAAGCTGAAGATCTTGGTAATTGAAAGACTTGTTTAATCTGTTTCTACTGTGGAGACTTTCTAGTTCGTTGAATGGAAATTTAAAATTTGGAAATGGAAAAAGTTCATGATCTATTGTTGTTTACTAGGTCACGTAATAACCACTAGAAACTTTTGCATTGTAAAGGTGGGGATTATCTTACTTAAGCAATGATGGGCTATAAGATTTAGGAACCTTTATCACTTGTTTAATTTTTATTTTCTCTGTTTTATTTTAAGCTTTCACAATGTATGTGGTTTAGTACAGGGGTAAGACTACGTGCATCCTACCCCCCTTACCCCACCGAAGGTGGGAGCCTTTGCGGCACTGGCATAATGATGATGACAATGTTTGTTTAGTGTTCTCACTGATGTGGATGCATCACCCTCTGCTTTCTACACATCTTTTACTTTCCTGTTTTTAATATTTTGAGGAAATGTATCTTTTGCTCGACTTGCATAGCTTGGTTTCACCATTTTCTTTTTAAACATTTCAGTAGTAATTAGGGAAAAAGGGCAAATAAGCCCTCGAACTAATAAAAAAAGTGCAAATAAGCCTTTTTGTAGGAGGTTTCGTCTGTCTATCGTCATTTGGGGAGGTTCCCGGTGGAATTTTTTTATGAATTTTTTTGAGCATCTTATTCATTAAGTCTAGTTTAGTCATACCGAATTTCAGCTAAAAAATCAATCGGGAAGACACTCAAATGAATTTTTGAATATAACTGCGCAATTAAACAACGCAGTATAGTTCCGAAAATCATTTGAGTGCCTTCGCGGTTGAATTTTTAGCTGAAATTTGGTATGGCTAAACTAGATTTAATGAAGAAGATGCTCAAAAAAATTCATCAAAAAATTCCACCGAGAACCTCCCCAAATGACGATGATCAGACAAAACCTCCTACAAAAGGGTTTATATGCACTTTTTTTATTAGTTCGAGGGCTTATTTGCCCCTTTTCCCTAGTAATTAAGTTAACGTGAAAATAACATTAAAATTTTATAGATTCATCGGATTAGCTCTGATATCCTGGATCGGTTCATGTTACCCGACCCCAAAATCGTTTGGGAATTAGGCTTGGTTGTTGTTTTTGTTGTATCTGATTAGCTAATTTTGTTTATATACAAGGTTTACTAATTTCAAGCCATCCACCTATGACCTGACCAAATGGAGGCCTTGATGGTGTAACTTGGATACTTGTCACTTAACCCCCAACACACACACACACCTACTATTATTGTTCGGTTTCATGATAATGGATAGTACTGACCTTGAGAATATAGGGTATCTTGGCTTTTACTCATCATTCATCATCATTACCCCAGTGCCGCAAAGGCTCCCACCTATGGTGGGGTAAAGGGGGGTCGGATGTATGCAGCCTTACCCCTGTACTAAAGCACGGAGAGACTGTTTCCGGATGACCCATAGGTATCTTGGCTTTTTACTATAAATAAAAATTTGGTTCTTGCTCTTCCCATTATGTGAAAGGGCTTTTGGGATGAGCGTTTTTTTATCTATCAACAGAGGAATTTCAATTTGTACTGAACATCTTGAATTTCAAAATAAATCATATTTCGAACGCCTTTGCAGTTTGGTACTTTATTCCACGGCAATTTTTTGCCATCAATGAGAAGCTTTAATTTTTATGTTCTGGTCATTTCTCTGTGCTTACCTAGGTGAGCAAGGGATGGTTGATGAGGCACAAAAAGCATTGGAAGAAGCTGAAGCACTAAAGAAGGTTGCGAATTGTTTATACTTGGGGTTTGATTTGTTAGGAAGTTAGTGTGTTTTCCATTTTATTCTTTGAACCACTGTGTTTTCCATTTTATTCTTTGAACCACTGTGTGCCTTGTTTGCGCCTTGTTTTCATGCATTGATGTTTCTTTTCCAATTACTATCGTAAGTAAGCCATTCCAGTCAGCTCTTTTTATCTGTTTTTTCTTTCAGCTTCCATCACGACAGGAACCCATCCTTGATTCCTCAAAGTACACTGCTGCTGATGTTCGCATTGTAAGTAAATCATTTCATATGTTCAAGTTATATAAACTCATGAACATGTATGGTCTTTGAGCCTAAAAGAGTGGGGAAGATTACAGAGTAGGGGGTGCAACACATCAAAGCTATTTTTGCACGCTAGGGACGACAAAACTTAATACTCTATAACCATGATGATATTTTTGTGTGAGCACTGAGCACATGTAGCCACACATAACCTGAAAGGGTAGTGAGGTCATTGGTGCTCCTTTAGTTTTGAACAGCTGCCTGAATTGGATTGGATGGGGAAGTTCCACATAGCACTTGAGGGTAACTGTCTGTGTTTTTTCTAAAATCTTGATGGACCTAACAATATGATGTCTTATCTCACCTTTCAAAATGCGGGTCTTTTAAAACATTTATATTTATGTGGTCAGATGTTGAATGTGTAGTGAAACATTTCGAATTCGTGAAGCACAATTGAGTATTGAGCAACTGCATGCTATGTTATTTGGATAGTCTGATTTGTGAAGTTGTGTTATTTGATTGGAAAGGGCATGATGAGTTTTTATGAGGAATTTAAATCAGCATATCCGATTAATAATTTGATAACTGATACATTGACCCATACTTTCACAGACAGATCAAAAGCTGCGCGTGTGTGACATTTGTGGAGCGTTTTTAAGTGTTTATGACAGGTAGGAGTATTCGCCATCTTTGTTGTGTACCATGCCTGTTTTTTTTAGTTAGAAGGCTTTTTGTACTTGTGGTACATAAATATTTGACATGGGCATTGTACCTCCTTATATCAACAGGCTTTGGGCCCAATTTTATGAAGATAAACTTTTGCAGCTAAATAATGTGCGTTTTGTTTCCAGTTTCTTGTTTTTCTATCATCATGCTATTAGTGGGTAGAAAATATTTGTCAGTTTGCATGTGTAATTCTCCATTCTTTTTTCATGTATTTTATAGTGAGAGGGACATGCGGTGTCTGTTGCTTGTTTGTTTTGGTTTATACAGTGATCGTCGTTTAGCTGATCACTTTGGGGGAAAGCTCCACTTAGGCTATATGCAAATCCGGGAGAAGTTGGCTGAACTTCAGGTAACACAAATCTTTTACTTCGAAATTCTTATTTGGCTCTTCTTGAAATTCAACTCTAAATTGAACAAAAAAAATTCAAGGATCTAAGCAAAAAAAAGGTGCCTAGTGTTCTCTTTGATATCATTTGGAATCAAGAGCATATAGGAATCTGCTATTATGTGATGAATGATTTGTTGTTACATTTTGCATGTACGTATATTATGCTGTGTACTATGTACCTTAACTATGCAATATGAATATTTTCATTCAGGTGCTGCTATAATGTTTCACTATCTTCTATAGGGATTCTCAGTTTATAATGTTTCTCTGTGAGTTTTTCTATCCTCGGAGAAGAGTGCTTCTCATTTGAATTATTGCTTTTAAGGAAAGACTAATATCTGTTCTTGTGATATTAAAGGATCCCATGATTAAATTAGACTAGGAAATGATGTACATGGTTGTCTGATTTTATATTGCCAGTGGCTTTGCTTATCATAGATAAAATATGGCAAGTGTGTTCCAGATTTATCTGCTAGTTGGCCAGACAGTCAGACTGTTCTAGTATTTGAACTTTTATAGATCTTTTGTGAAACAACAGTACACATAAAATCGATAGGTGCCTTCACTTTATCATCTGTAAGAGTGCAGAGTAACTATCATACTGGTAAAATTAATGTTCATAAAAGTGTTTCATGAGATTCTCCTTTTAAACTTAAGCAATAGCCACACTAAAGTTGGGCCATGTCATGACTCTTTTTTTGGCAATAAGAGGACAGCCAGGTACTGTTGCTGCTCTACAGAATATCTAATTTATTGTAGTCTTTGATTTTCTACAATTTTCAATCTAGCTTCCTCTTGGTTCCAATAAAATGTCTTCCAGATTATCCAAGGTTTGTTGCAAAATACCTTCATTTGAATAGAGGAAGTTATTCTTTCGACGGTGTTCAATATTTTCTCTTTTTGTGTGTATTAATACAGTATTCTTAAATAGAGCATCTTAGCAAAATCCTTTTCTCAGAAGCTATGTGCCATATAAACATGTTTAAAATCTTAGCTCTTGATAATGATATTCACCAAATTATATCGTTTTTTAAATTTTAATATATTTAGTAGAGTAGGTATTTTAAGGACTGAAACAAAGCACCGTACGATGTAGATAGGTAATTGTTTGTTTTTTGTTAAATTTGTAGTAATAAATCAGCTGTTATTCATACAAAAGATTGGGAATTCACATCACAAAAACCAGTTATATCCTTGAGAATGGGTTCCGTCCCTTTATCATCAGTCTGCATCTATTGAAGTGCAATTTGGCAAATCTATATAGTCAATTGTATATTTTCTTGTTACAGGAAGAGAAAAACAAGAAAATAAAAGCTTATGAAGAAGAGAGGAAGTAAGTCTGTGTAAAAGAAAAAATTAGTTCAGTTGGTTGTACTTGCCCTTGGTTTGTAATGGAAATTGTTCTGATGATGGTTTCCCCGTGTATTAGGTTATTTCCACTTCTGGTGTCCAACCTTCTTTTTACACTTGGTCCATGACTATTGATTTCTAACCACTTTTGGTCTTTCTGACCATATCCAGCCAATTCGGGTTGATTTTATGCTGGATAAGCAAAAAACAAGGACCAAAAGGAGATTGAAATCCATAGCAATCCCCAAAAATGAAAAAATGAAAGCCAGAGACCAAAAGTGGAAATAGTGGTTGGACTAGAAGTGAAATACCTTCATATCTCAAGGGCATTTACTAGTGTTTGGTTAGCAGTAACATGATTGCGGAGTAATATGTACTCCTATTTCATCATGTAGATCTAGAGAACGTCAAAGCAGAGAACCTGTAAGGGAATCTAGCAAGGACAGAGATGATAGACATGAAAAGGATCATGATCGTAAAAGCAAAGACCGAGGTGACAGGTACAGTGACCGAGACCGTGGATATGGCAGGGAGAGGGATCGTTCCCGTAACTATGACTCTAGGAGTCACCGCCGGTCACGGTCGCGATCAAAAGAGCGCTCTCGGGATTATGATCGCCACAGGTTCCTTTCTCTTGCTACTGCACTGCTTATTTTGTTTTAATGTATGTCAAAGTATGGGGAGATCGTGCGCTGCTGCTTATTTTGCTCCCATAATTATGGGGAGTTGTTTAAACTAGCCCATTATACTTTAGAAATGCGAATAACTTAAAAAGAATAATAAATGCGAAGAATAAACTAGCCCATTATGTTTATTTATTTATTAAATGCATTTTAATTGTACTAATAAGTGTCAGGGCACACTATAAACTGGACTTCTTATTTCAGCTGTATTTTGCAATGTTTTTTGTGTATTTGGAAATAAATTGTCGATATTTTTTGTAGAAATGTTTCTAAGTTGCCATCTAACTGGACTAGCATTGTCAACCTTGATTAGGAAACTACAATTGAATTTTGAGGATTTCTTGTTGTACACACTTTTATACCCACCTTATACCCACCATACCCACCTTATACCCACCATGTCTATGAAGAGTTTTTTTTGTCAATTCAATTCACAGCAGAACAAAATAATTTGCACATATTTTGTCTGTGACCGGGATTCCCAGACAAAAACTCTGCACAAACATGGTGGGTATAAAAGTGGGTATAAGAGTGGCAGTTTTTTTTTTTCCCAGCTTAAGCCGTCTCATCATCGTCATCTGCAGGCGTCATGATCGATACTAGGACAATGCTACACTGTTTTGTGGGGGTTATAGACTTGTGGTAGATGTTGCAGCAGACAATATGACGGACTATTGTTATTATTTTTCTATGCTCTAAATTCTCTATAGAATTGTTCATTATTTTTGAGTGTTCCAACTTCCAAGGAGATAAGTTTTTGCTGTGAAGGTTGTTCCCTGTTTGGTGGCAAGTGGCAAGTGGCAACATTGTATTTGCACAATAAGACAACTAGTACATCCCTTTGAAGTCATGGACCCGGTCCGGTTTCGGGACTGGGCCCGGCCGGGTTGGTTCATGTTTTTTTTTTGTTTTGCTTTTATAATTAACCTCTGACCCCCTTTTCACCCCCACCTGCAAAACACCCGGGCCAACCCGGGAGAAACCAAAAAAATTGAAAAAACAAAAAAGAAAAAAAATAGGCTCGGGATCAGTACTGTTTAGGTCCGGCCCGGAACCGGCCTGGGACTAGTACTGTTTGGGCCCGGCTCGGCGACCCGCTACAGTCTTGTTTGGGTAGGCCTGACCCGCTGTTTAGGGAAGGACGGGCTCGGGTCAGCTGAATATGGAACCGGTCGGGCTTGGTTCAGGCTTTTTTTATTTTTTTCCAAATTTTTTAAACCCGTGTTGGGCTAGGTATTTTGGGCCATTTGGGGTGGTTTGGGGTTGGGGGTGGGGGGGGGGGGGGGTTATTACAAAGTGGCCCGAAGCCTGGCCCGACCCGGACCCAACGGCAACCCGGGCCTTCCCCCAAACACAAAAGGCCCAATCGGGCCCGGCTCCATGCCTACCCCGGCCCGACCGGGCCGGGCCGGTTCCACTCTTAGGAGGCCTTACCCCGTCCCGTTTAATTCCCGGTTCGGATGTCTCGGACCAGTCCTATGATCGGGTACCAGGCTGGGCCCAAACAATATCAGTTCCGGGCCGGGTAGGGATGGACCCGGGCCGGTTTCGGTTCGGGCCTGGGTTCGGCCGGGCTTTTGTTTGGGAAGTAGTGTTGGACTCGGGCCGGGCGGCCCGAACCGGAACTGGCCCGGCCCATTTACTGTGTGAACCGGCCCGGCCTGATGGCCCAGTCCACCGGCGGTTCGGGTCGAACCGGCCCTGTGGATACCGGTTCCGGGCCCGGGCCCTCTATTTGGTGAACCGGCCCGGCCGGTTCGGGCCCGGTCCGGGCCGCAATAATTTTTTTTTTAATTTTTTTTTGAAATTTTTTTAATTTTTGGGTTGGATTAGGTATTTTGGGCCATTTGAGGTGGTTTGGGGTTGAGGGGGAGGGGTAGGGGGTTAAATAAGAGAAGCCAAAAAATCAAAAAAAAAAAAATGGGGCGGGTGAACCGGCCCGGAACCGGTCACTTGTCGGTTTGGGCCCGGGCCCTCCTTTTGGTGAACTGAGGCCCGGCCGGTTCAAAGCCCGAACTGGGCCCGGCCTGAACCGAGTCCAGCACTATTGGGAAGTAGGGAACCGGAACCGGCCCGGGTAGCCGGCGGTTCCGGGCCGGCCGTGCTGGTTTCCGATTCAAGTTTTTTTTTTTCTTATGTTTTTCTAAATTACCCCCGACCCCCCTTCCTAATCCCCCAAACCCCCCCCCAAAACACCCAGCCCTACCCAGTAGAAACCAAAAAATTGAAAAAAAAAATTGGCCCGAACCGGCCGAGCTGGTTCACCATTTTCAAGGCCCGAGCCCTCATCGGGAACAGACTGGTTCCGGTTGACCCGAACCGGCTCCAAGAACGGGTACTGGACCGGGCTCGACCCAAACAGTACCGGGCCGGGCCGGGCTGCCGGGCCCAAGTCCACTCCTAGTGTTGGGGGGCCCGACCCGAGTCCACCACTATCCCTTTCCGATCATTGTTCTCGCATCAGACTGTGTAAATCACTTTTTAGAAAGTAACATGATCCTAAATTGGGGATAGTGTAACCGAAGATGGTAGAAACTCAATGATACATATATACATACACATATATCAATTGCTAATTTAATATTAGTCACTTTATCATACTTTGTCCGTCCTGAAAAAGTTTACCAATTTGACTTTTCTTGGTCAATGACAATCAACTTTGACTAATGATATTTTTGAATATGAAATTATTTTGAATAAGAATCATTATACCAAATTGTTCCTCATTCAAAATCTATATTTTCAAAAAAGTATTAAATTCATAAATTACTTCTTGTTCTTGGTCGAAATCCTACTTGTTCTTGGTCAAAGTGTAAATGACACGTTGGGATAACATGTTCGTCCCAAAGTCGTGATGATAACGACGAACAACACACGTAACTCTTGTCGCAAAATCAAAGGTGATTTTTGCAACAAGAAAACCTTCCTGATATTAAGGAAGAAATGGAGGCCACCGCTGTCGAGGAGGAGCAACAACGCGGTGAGGATGAGGAGGAACAAGGAGGTGGCACCGGTTTATCCCAACCACATAAGACTTCTAAACTCAAATCCCTTCTTTTTGTAGACCGTTTTGAGAAATCGAAGAATCCGATGGATGGCGAATGGTATACACGAGGATTGTCCACGATACCGTAACAAGACACTTGAATTTGAGGCCCCCGACACAAACGACACAAATGAAGGGCAAATGCATAAACGAATTATCGTTTTTTGAAATTTTAATGAAAGGCACACTGGTGATACTATTTACATTATCATGGAATGTATTTTAATTGAATATAATTTGATTGATAAGGTGTTTGCTATTGGTTTTGATAATGCTACTAGTAATGCTGCTACTGTACCCTAGATTACGCGATTTATGTGATCGTTCTATTTTGATGAGTAGATTTTTTCGTCAACGTTGTGTATGTCATATTATTAATTAGTATGTGAAATACGGTTTAAATGCATTAGGAAATGGGATGGAGAAAGTTAAGGGGTCTATTGAAATGATTTGGGGTAATACTCAATTTAAAATGCAGTGTCATGTTTTATTTGAAATGTTATCGTGTTAAATATTGTGCTTTTCCTAAATATCGTTCTATTCGTTGGAATAATACTTATAATTTAATTGTTGTGGTTCTTATATTTAAAGATCATTTCCCTACTTTTATGAAAGAAACTTGTAATTATATTATTGAACTAGTTGTTATCGACATCATGATGGAAAAAATTTGCAATGTTTTAGTTTGTTTTCATAACGATACTCAAATTTTTTTCTCATGTTTATATACCTATTAGTGACAATTTTTTTATATAGATATTGTTAATCTCAATTAACGAACTTTCTCTCTCTCTCTATATATGTATATTTAAATCAAAGAAAAAGGTCTATTTAATTCAACAATATTGTTCCAAAAAAAAATCAACATCTAATCTTTAAAAAAAATCATCTTCTGTCGTTGCACAAAATTGATTAACGAGCTTTCTTTAAACCTAACATTTCCTATCGAATATAGTGAAGAAGCGAGTTTGACATTCTCCAATGGTGGAAGAGCCACAAAGAAATGTTCCCCATTTTATTAAGAAATGACCGAACAAGTGCTGTCAACAGTTGTCGTGGAACAAGGTCGAGTTTAATGAAGCCGACAACGTTTTGGGGCGGGTCCGCCCCGCCCCACCTATACAATGGGGCGGGTCCGGGTATTAGAATTGACCTGTGCCGCCCCGCCCCACCCCACCCCAACCCGCTCACTATATAAGTATACATAATTTTTCTTAAATTATACTACAAATATACTTCAACATACATATGTGTGTATACAATAAATCATAAATTTTTTGATCTTATGATATATTAATATATATTAGAATGAGATGAACAATGGATTATCAATGTCTTCTTTATATATAGCATTTTAATACATACTCCCTCCGGTTCACATTCTTCTTTACACTTTCCTTTTTTGTCAGTACCACATTCTTCTTTACACTTCCTTATTTGCCTTATTTGGCAAACAAATCTACCTAAAACAGTGCCAAATAGTGTCCAAATAGTGCCAAACAGTGTCCAAACAGTGTACTCTACAGTAAAGTCAAATTTACTTTCTTAAAACCTGTGAAGTCAAAGTGTCAAGGAGATTATGAACCGGAGGGAGTATATTAAATGATTAATATAATTAAATAGATTAATTATTCAAGTCTTTGTAATTTTTCCTTAATTTTTGAAATATTTAGCGTATCATGAATTTGATTTAATATATTAATTTTTAATTATTATTTAGAGATAATTTTTATGTAGATTCAATTGGTAACAACTTCCCACAAATAAAAATACATACTAGCTAATTAGGTTACGGCGGGGCGGACCCGGCCCGCATGGGGCGGGTCATGGGTCAACAAGTTTGGACCCGTGCAGGTCACGGGGCGGGGCGGACCCGCCCCGCCAAGTCACGAGGCGGATCTGAGTCTTGCAGTACCTACCTCACCCCGACCCATTGCCATGCCTAATTTTAACTGACTATATAACGAGGTTGAGCGCATCATCTATTGAGATTGATTGAAGGCCTGTCATAGAACCCAAGAAGTTAACATAACACTTGACCACGATTTTATAAATTGTGATTTATAAATGTGTTAATACTCTAAGAGCCCGTTTGGTGACACAAAAATTGGTTGCATTGGCTGATTCTGCTGATTTAAAAAAAATTATTTTTTAAATATAATTTGTTAATAAAATAAAAACAAATTATATGGAAAAATAGCTAAAATGGTCATCTACAGTAACTTCAGCCAATACAGTCATAAAAGTAACTCCAACCTTACTTTTTCTGCCTATTACACAATTCAGCACGCGAACGCAAAAATTACGTGTTTGGTGAAAAATTTGACTGATAAGCCTGATAAACTGAAAAACAGTGTTGCCAAACGGCCTCTAAGTCAATGTAGTAAAATAAATATACATTTCATTTTTTAATGAGTATAATTTTTATACAAAATTAAACAGGGTCGGAACTGGCTCAGGACGACCCGAAATAATTCGGGTCAGTTGGGAACCAGGACCGCAGGTACGAAATCGATGACATTTCACGTTCATTTTTCACAATTTTATCTGTTTTAGGATTTGTTTCTGTACAATGTCAAATACAACATACAATGTCAAATACAACATTTAAATACAAATGTAAACATTGTATAGACATTATTGAAAAAAAGTCAACAAACAGATTTAATCATAAAAAAGAAAGCGAAAGAAAACTGCCATCAATTTATTTTTACACATTCCAATTTCTACATATGCACCTTGAAGATGTTTTTGCCGATTAGGGTAACCCTACTGCCCCACAGTATATAGAACAGGAATTTCGGTTACAACACGCGCGGAGTGACGGATAATTTATACTTTGGCGAACATATTTTTTCCCGCCATCTCAAATCCCA